ACTGCTCTGTGGTTATTACTCTTAGCCGTGATTTGTTGATGTGTTTGTGAACTTTTTTTAATTGTTTCGCTAGTATATTCGAACCTTTCTGATCTTTGTCGCCATTTTTTGAGTTCTTTTTTCCTTTAGTTCTTCATCTTTTCATTCGGACACATTTTTGTTCTTTTTTTCATGAATTTTTTTTCACTCTTAGTTGTTGTGCCTTATTTAATTTTCAAATTGGTTTGGGTTTAAAGTAGCATTTGTGTCATTGGTAGTAGTAAAGCGCAATAAGAAAGTAATACACAGTAATACCTCATACATATTTAAAATTTAAATGTTGGATGAATTAATGATTTGCAACTGTTGGTCTGAGGAAAGTGGTTTTTCTTATTGTTATCTTATTTGCAATTAAACAGCCTATTTAGAGCAAGAATGAAGTTATGCTTTCAATCATTGTTTAAAACCACTGTTTTAATTTTAATATCGATATTTATTTAGTATGTAGTTGCTCCAGATGTTGCTGTGGTAGCAATGCTTCTATTTTTTCCGGTTTGTCAACGCGTGTAATTCTTTTTGAAGAGGAGGAAGAAAACGGACATATTTGAATTTTTCAGGTTTTTGAAAAGTAGTAACTGCTTATTTCAGGTTTTTTCAACTAGTTCAAAATTTGCTGTGTTCTTCTTCACTAGTTTTTTCTCTTCTCTTGTTTCCTATCTTTATCGGCTTATATACTGCACCAAGTCATGTTTTTATTTGGTATTTTTGGAGGAGTAAAAATGCAAGAAGTAAAAGGAGTGGTTTTATTTGTTTTTTTATTCTTTTATAATACACTGAGGTAATTAATAGTGGTGATTGAAAAAACCAACTGAGATGAGCCTACAAAGATAACTAAAGAAATTGTTTTTATTGTTGTTGCCTTTGTTGTTACTGCTGCAGCTAGTGCTGTTATTGCTTGTTATTTGTCAGTAAATCGTAATTGCTTGAATTGGCTGGAAGGAATGCTGTTGTTGTTGTAAGTTGACAGTAGTGTGTCTGATGAAATTGAAGGGGATAATTTTTGTGGCTTTGTATCGTGTATAAGTGATGGTGGTATGTAAAGTTGGTTAAAGTTCCGAGGTCATCGAGAGGGAGTGCTTAATTATATTTTAAAACAGAGTGGAAAAAAGGCACAGGAAGCAGAACCACTTTTTAAAATTTTATTTGGTCGTCTGAGTTCTTTGTTCAGAGAAGCCTCAGCGAAAAAGATTTCAGTGTTAGATAAGGAAAAAGAATAGTAGTAAATTGACAGTTTTCGAAGGGTTTCTTTGGGTGAGGTAGAAGAAAGAAAGAATTGGAGACGGAGAGAGAAGGAGAGAGAGGTATTTTGCGTGCCGAATGAGAGCGGTGAAGTGAATTTACGCAAGAATAATTCACAATGTCATCTCTGTTTAGGCTCATTATGTTAACAATGCCCATATAACAGCTGCTGGCCAGTTCTCTTTGCTAAGGCTTCGTTGGAACATTTTTCTTTTTTTTTCATATCTTCTGTGTAGTCATTCAGTCAATCATCCAGTTATTCAGTCATAATTGTTGAATTGGTTGTGTTTCTTGTTACACAGTGAGAAACATTTTTGCATGTATGTAATGTATGTGAGTGTGCGCAGTGATGAAGGCTTGACAAATAAATTCAAAAATGCTGTGAAAATGGTTTTGATGATGGCTGTGGTAGTGGATGATGATGATGATGATGACGATGTTGGTTTTGGTGCTGTTGGTAGTGTCCAATGGTTTTTATTTTGCCATTTGAATAGTGCCAAATATTTCGTGCATTGTTTTAAATGCGCTTCTTTTATTTTGATTTTATTTGGATGTTATAGAATTATGTTCAAAAGTCAATTGAAAAGGCGGTGGCAAATGACTATTGAATTACTTAATGGGTTGATGAGGCCTTAATTGATTGCTACATTGTTATGGCAGTTAGCTACGTGAAATTTCGACGGATAGTTGGGTAGCATTGACTTCTTTTGTGTACTTTTTACTAATGTCAAAAACAGCATTGTTATTTTTCTTAAAAATTAGGCCTTTTTCTAAAGAAGATAGTCCAATTTTATATGCATATTTTGCGATTTTTTATTTGATTTTATATGTTTGTAAACAGAATTTTTGTTAGGGGTTTGTCATAGAAAAGAGCCGTTATATGGATTTGTTTATCAGATTATTGTTTACATTTGGTTAAGGCAAGATTTGCTATTTATGGGTGATTTCGGTATTTATTTGAAATTATCTGTAT